TAAATAAAAATTATCAGGATAAGAGAGAATAATTTTGAATAAGCCAGATTTTGAGATTTATTTAAAAGGAACGTGATATACATATGTAGAATGAATGAAAATGATAGTGATATAGTGACTAAAAGTGAAATTTAGTAAAAATGATAGAAAACTAAAAAGAAGATAATAATGTTATTTGGCGTGCGCAATATAATATTTTAATGTTCTAATATAATGTGGAAGAACAATGGCGCGCGCTTGTGTTGTTCTAGTACTTATAAAATCGAAATTATTGTATTAAACTTACTTTATATTTTACATTTTTTAAATAAGTATTTATTAAATAACTATAGAATACTGAAAAAGTCTTTCTTTTACATATAAGCTCACAAAATTTTATACGTATGGTTTTGTCTCTAACACTTATTCGAACCCGCGTTCAAATAATTTGAATAAATAAAATAAAAACAGAGAACAAATGCTTTATTTTGCACAAGTAGCAAATACAAATGTAAAACACTCACCTTACGATTTCTCCGCCGTTGCCCGATGCCTCCTTGGCCTCTTCCTCCTCTCAGATATCCTTGTTGCACTCACACAACACTCACTCGCAAAAATCATCGATCGCGCGAAATTTCGGGCACTCCCGTACGCGATGTGAAATACCGCGAAACGCACGAAATAGTATTAACAAATATAGCGTGACTTTCTGTCATATAAATTACTCAAACTAACCACTTGCATTTTTGATTCGGAAGAATATTGGGATAAATCATTTTTGAATTGGCGATATAAAACGCAAAGCAAGCATCGGAAGCATAATCTGCGGTAAAGAAGTAGTTATTAGTTTGCAACGTGCAATAAGCGACTTTCTTTACGGCCTGTTCGAGTTGCGAAGAACGACAGAGCGAATTACAGCGCCGAAGTCGCACAAATTTCTCTCTTTTTCCCGAAAATGGAACAGATTACACGAAACCGATAGATAATTAAAAGCGCGGTGCGTACACGAGATGTAACTGCGACAAAGTACCACGGTTTACATTCATATTTTAGATGAGTTGATAAAGAGATACGTTGATAAAGAGCCGTCGCCACAACTTGTAAGTCGTTTCTCATTACAAGTTGTAGAAACTTGATAATTAACCGAGGAACGTTACTTGTTACTGATAAAGGTGTCCAAATCAATAGCGTTTTATCGGCCTGCATTTATGCGATCGAGTCTTGGAAACCGATAACGCAAAAGTAATAAGCGAAAGTAATAACACGCACAGAGCGACTCTCGCTGCTGCCTGCCGGCACAACATTCGGCGAGCGAGTGAGAGCGCGGCGACCTTCAGGTACACGATGGCACGCGAAAACATCATACGTCACCGCACCGAGAGAAAAACAACTACGAACGTTGAGAATCCGTTGTCCCGTCTACGAAATTGTAAATTCTGTACTTATTAATATTTTACATTACTTTGTTCGTAACTGTTACTACGTTTTGCGTATCATTCTACGGACTTGTAGGTATTGATTAAATTAACGATTAATTCTGTTTAATCGAGAACATATTTCGAACATTGCATTATAGCAGAATATAATGGTGAAGGTAGAAACGCTATTAAAGAATATTACTGCACATGTAAAAGTAGTAGCCACATTGTTGTGCGTATATTATGTAGATTGATTTGGTGCCTAGTGTATGCTAAAAACCTTTTTCATGGTATATAGATAACATTTGAGCATAGTAATAACATTAATTATTCTCTTGAACAGTTCTAATATTGTAATTTATTGAACGAATAAAATGACATCTTTATCGTATCTCTTGTAATGTTTCATGTATTTTACGCATGTATATCTATATATTTACATATATCTATACATTTACATATAGTATGTATATATATGCATAAGATACGTGACACATGACAGAATGACACGATAATTTTGCTTTTATAGTCCGACATTTTTTTAACGTTTCAGTTTATTGTATCAAAGAAAAACAACCTGATATTGTGAGTTATTCCTTGACAGGTATCCTTTAATTAAAAAATACTTTATTGCTGAAAAATGTGATACGGAAACGTCAAGAGAGCACAGATTGTTAAAAAAATAATATCGATATCTGCATAATAAAATGTAAGGTTTACCTGCATTCGTTATCAAAATTATGATAATAAAGCTAAGATAACACAATATATATATTATACATCATGAACGTTCTAATTTAATAACACGTGGTTCACACAAATGCTAGAAAGACATGAAAGGACTTCGCATTAAAATTGCTGTTAGCCGTAATATAAAACGTGCTGTGAAAACTGATCAATAACGTTAAGTATTTTCGAATTATAAAAATTATCTATGTTTTTAAAGTTGGGAGCCTCTACTTCAATGGTTTTTTTTATAAAATTGTCATCTTTGAGTATATTTGATTATGTTGTATCAATAATTTTTATAATATTTCTGCAATCCGTAATGGTAGATGTATATACATTCTGAGAATATAAGAGGATATCGCAAAAGTATATTGCGCACATTCGAGATACGAAGTATGTCACGAGAATATGGTGTAATTCTGTCTTGTATTCCCAACACAATCGTTTTAGATTAGGTCCGTAATATCTCAAACAGCATACCTTTGACAATGTTGAGCAATAATAATTCCCGTGTGTTGCCTGCAGCACAATATTTCTAAAATATTTACGTTTATTAAATACATCAATTAAACCATCGAAATGCCTTTGAAAAAACATTATCGTAAACAAATTGTGGATCTGAGATTATCAAGAACCAACGACATTTCCGCGGTGTGCGAACAGCCCGCATTCGCAGTTACCCACTAAAGTTTTAACCGCGCTCAACGTTATTTGATTCACAGATTCACAGATTGAACAGACTAACGGTGGGATCTTCTGGGCCTTTCCTCTTGCTTGTAAGTACATAACACACATCTTTATAGTGTTTAAGAAATATTGTATTGATGTTAACTAACAAACATATTTTATTTATTTCTGGTTTCTATTATTTTTCACTTAAATATAACAAAATTATAAAATTAATTATAAAATATAAAATTTCATTTTTATATTTTACAATTGTTTTATAATTGTCCTTGTATTTACTTTCTTTCCCCAGTAAGAACACCCACAAAACATCTTGATATACAGTGCATATAAATTTTTAGTACACAGTACATACCTTGGATGTCAAGTCCTAGGTGTGTACACGATTTATACATTTTGCTTCCTCATAGAGGAAGCTTTGTTTTCGTGAAAAAAATTTTTTTCCAGTTTTCTTTAAAAATATGTTTAGAATGTTCTAAAACGTCAATAAAACACATTTAGAAAAAATGTCAGTATGTATGTATGTATGTGTGTGTGTATGTATGTATGTATGTCTGTATGTATCCTTACAAGGTTACTCTAAATAACTTTTTAAATATGTAAGATGGAGAAAAATGTTAAACATGAAAGTTGTACGGTTTCAAGTAATGCATTACATTGTAATACAAATATGACTTCGAAAAGCTACCTCAAGGTCACGTAAAGATCACCTTGAAATTTTTTAATGGAAACCCGTTTTTTAATGCATATTCTTATAGCTTATCTCAACAGCTTTCCAAAACATTATAATAAAGTATATTTTCGTTAGGTACTTTCGGAGTTATGTGCTTTTGAAAGTTACATTATTCTCGGAAATCGCATTATTTAAGGTTGAGTTTTTGAATATGATAAAAGGAATATGTTCAACCCAAATTAAAATTTTCTCGAGGACGCCGACGTGGCCTCGGACGCGTTCATTTAGGAAGAAATATTCTATATAATAATTTATATTATTAGTACAATAGCCGTACATCTGCACGTCGACGGATAAGAATTTTGTTACACGTTACAGGTACATGTGGTATATGTACGTACACAAGATATACACATATATGTATACATAGGATGTACATAGCTTGTACATACACATGTATATAATATACATAATATGTATGTATGTATGTACATACATGCATGCTCATAATATGTACATTTGTAGATATATTCAGCAATGTAACATGCCATGTGCAATGTATATGCACATATGAAATAAACATCAAATAAAGATATACATAATATGTATAACTTATGTACATGATGTATATACTTCCGATCTTCAATATACATACATATACATACAATATACATACATTGTTTAAGTTCCATTTTATATTCTTTAGATTTAGAATAAAATTTTATCGCGCACTTGTTTTTTATCTTAATATATTTGGACATTAATGTACGGAAGTTTAAACATGATGTGTCCAAATTATGTATATGAGATGTATATACATGTCACGTACAGAATATTTTTTCATGTCATGGAGGAAAAATGCGTATAAGTACATAGGATATTCGATGTTATGTGGGCACTAACGTCGAATCGACGTCAATGGTGTCGGAACTGCTCAACCGCAAGTTTTCGAAAATAATAAAGTTGGGAACTTAATTTTGGTATTAAATGACTATTTCAACGTTCTGAATACTTTTATACTTACGTCTTAAGAAAAGCAGCAAAAGATCTATCATTTGTGTTCTAATTTGTATTAATATACTCCTTTCAAATGTGCCGCGTCCATGCGTGTAGGTCTAACTAGACGTCTACAAATGTAAAGACTCAAGTTGGTTCTATCTTTACAGATAGAGATCCATACGAGACGAAACGAGTTCAATATCGATCTTCTTTGGTAAGATGCCTGTTGAATTCGAAAGTGTCAACAGGTCTGTAACGCGGGAGTCTGCGATCGGAAATGGAGAACCGTGTTCCGTCGATGGTGACATCGTCATCACGGGTATATCAGGTAATTGTTGGTCGCGAATGGCTGTATCGTTATGAGAGCGTAACGTACTGAAGAAATGAACGTTTTTCCAGGCCGGCTGCCCAAGTCGTCTAATATCGAAGAGTTTAAGGAGAATTTGCTGAAGGGAGTGGACATGGTCACTGATGACAAGCGTTGGTCAACGAACAGCTACGGGATACCGGGCAAGTCAGCCAGGATTAACAACATCGACCGCTTTGACACTTCTTTTTTCGGGGTACACCCCAAGCAAGCACACGTAATGGACCCACAGCTTCGCATATTGTTAGAAGTCGTATACGAGGCGATAGTTGACGCTGGCGTCAATCCTTCCACCATAAGAGGATCGCGTACAGGAGTGTTCATGAGTGCCGCTTTCACAGAAACGGAGGATTTATTGATTAAAAATGCAGATATCGCCAACGGTTCGTATTATGAAAAAACAATGCCGATTGTCTTCTCAATCAATTATTTTAAAGTCTGTCTACTTATAACAATAGGGCAAGATGGTGCAGACGTAGCGTTTTGCAATTGATCGGTGTACACATTTTGCTGTTTATCAAATATATCTGCTACACCGCAAAAGAAATCACACGATATCTGCTGACAAGAAAAACTTGCATCTGCTTGCAGGATATGTAATGCTCGGGGGTGCGAGATCAATGTTCGCTAACAGAATCTCCTTCTCCTTCGATTTTAATGGGCCCAGCTACACGGTGGACACGGCTTGCTCCTCGTCCTTGTACTGCATGCATCAGGCAGTCGCCGCAATGCGCAACGGCGAGTGCGATGCTGCGATCGTCGGTGGAACGAATCTTATATTGACACTCGAGAGATCGCTTCAATTTTATAGGCTGAATATGCTCTCCCAGGATGGCAAGTGCAAAGTGTTCGATGCATCGGGTGACGGTTACGTGAGGGCCGAGGCGGTAGTGGCAATATACCTGCAAAAAGCGACGGATGCGCGCAGGATGTATGCCACAGTGGTTCACACGAAGACAAACACCGATGGCTACAAATCTGAAGGTGTCACGTATCCCAATCGTCACATGCAGAATCGATTGATGCGCGAGATTTACAGCGAGGCAGGAATTAATCCTTTAGACGTCAGCTACATAGAAGCCCATGGTACCGGCACCAAAGTAGGCGATCCAGAGGAAGTCAATTCTATCGACGCACTATTCTGTAAAGATAGAAAGACTCCTTTGCTGATCGGATCGGTCAAGTCCAACATGGGGCATTCGGAACCGGCAAGTGGATTGTGCTCGATAGCTAAAGTGCTGATCGCAATGGAAGCGGGCGTGATACCCGCGAATTTGCACTTCAACACTCCGAATCCAAACATTCGTGGCTTAAACGAGGGACGTATTCGAGTAGTCGACAAGGCCACATCGTGGAACGGTGGTCTCGTGGGCATCAACTCGTTCGGATTCGGCGGCGCAAATGCACACATCCTTCTGCGCAGCAATCCAAAACCAAAATTACCACCGCTATTAAGCGTCGCTGAACTCTTGCCCAAATTGGTCGCGGTTTCAGGTCGAACGGAAGAAGCTGCGCATACCTTACTGGACAAAGCGAAAGAGCACCGTACAGATGAAGAGTTTCTTTCACTGTTACACGCAATACACAATAACAATATTCGCGGTCACAAGATTCGTGGTTACGAGATACTCGGCGTAGATAGTATGCGTGAAGTCACCGAGGTAGCGAGCTACAACGAGAGACGCCCGATTTGGTTCGTATTTTCCGGCATGGGCACGCAATGGCCAGGCATGGGTCGTCAGTTGTTCGGCATTGAAACTTTTCAACGCAGTTTGCAGCGATGCGCTGATGCATTGACGCCCCACGGCATCGACCTCATGAATATTATCGCGAATGCCACGGACGAAACATACGAGAACGTGTTGTATTCCTTCGTGACTATTACAGCTATACAAGTTGCCCTAGTGGACATCTTAACGTTGATCGGCGTACATCCGGATGGTACAATTGGACACTCCGTTGGAGAGCTGGGTTGTGCTTATGTTGACGGCGCATTTACGCTGGAACAGACCGTTCTGGCAGCTTACTGTAGAGGCAAAGCGATTGTAGATTCCAAGTTGGAGCCGGGTGCCATGGCAGCAGTTGGTTTGAACTGGGAGGAGGCCAAAAAGATGTGCCCGCCCGATATCGTTCCAGCTTGTCACAACGCCGCCAAATCTGTCACTATTTCCGGTCCGATTGACTCCATGCACAAGTTCGTACAAATGCTGAGGAGCAAAGATATCTTCGTCAGGATGTTAAAAAGTTCCGGCTTCGCCTTCCACAGTAAATATATCGCCTCGGCCGGGCCCAAATTACGCGCGTCACTCGAGAAGATCATACCGAGCCCGAAGCAGAGATCAGCCAGATGGATCTCTAGCTCTATACCTGAGGCCGCATGGGGTGGTCCGCTTGCTCAGCTCAGCTCCGCCGCGTATCACGTGAACAATTTGTTATCTCCTGTACTCTTTCAGGAAGCGCTTGCACATATTCCGGAGAACGCGATAACGATCGAGATTGCGCCGCATTGTTTACTGCAGGCAATCTTGCGCAGATCGTTGCCACCAACTGTGACCAATATCGGCCTGCAAAAGCGAAAACATTCGGACAATCTCACTTTTCTACTGTCTAACGTGGGCAAACTGTACATGGCCGGTGCACAACCTGACATTTCTAAATTGTATCCGTCGGCGAGCTTCCCCGTCGGTCGCGGGACACCGATGATCGGGTCTCTCGTCAGGTGGGATCACTCTGCCGCGTGGGATGTGGCTGATTTCCGACAAGTATCAAAACGTTCGGAAGAGTGTAACGTCCAGATAGATCTGTCGAAAGAAACGGACGCGTATCTAGCAGGGCACCGGATAGACGGACGAATTCTTTTTCCAGCCACTGCTTATTTGCTGCTGGTATGGAAAACTTTGGCGAAATTGCGTGGCGTTGACTTCGAACGATTGCCTGTGGTGTTCGAGAATGTGCAGTTGCAGCGGGCGACC